AGGACCCGAGTAAGCACTGCTCCTCTCAATGATAAGAGCTCTTAAACCAGGCTAGTCCACCAAACCTTCGTTTCATGTTCACAGAACTTCAAATACAGACCTGGACCTAGAGTAGAACAAATTTGTCAAACCACACTCATGGGAAATTCAGAGCAGGCCTCTACAATAAGAGCACTTAAGCCCATTGGTTTTTAGCAATACCAACTTAAGATCAAAAGTACACTAAATATAGTTTGATATATACTAACTTTTTGCAAGGCGTCTGCTTATTAGTTGACTTATACATTTTATGAATTTATGATTAATCAATAATAGAAATTTGCAAAAAGGTATAAGAAGATTTCTATCCTTGTAGACTTTCCAGAAACCACCAGATTGAACGACGCTTTTTTTAAATAGTTAATAATTGAAAATTTATCCTGTAACTCAAGTCAACTTTTCATCAGCTGGCAGCACTGCACTGCACATCACACGACGTAGGCATACCCGCGGGGGTGAGTGGACATTGAGGGAGATATGGATGGACATGGGACTGGGGAATTTTCTTAATCTGTCAAACGAAGCTCGGAACCATCGCACACCACGGACGAAGCTGGTACGGAAAGAGCAGGCACCGTAGTCGAACGCTCATTCCACATAGATCTCGGTGTGCTCGGTGGTTGTGGAGTGGCTAATTCGTGCTTCAGAATCGGATATATCCTATCCAACAGTATATACCTAGTGAGTGAATGGGAATTTCCTCTAATCGGAACTAGAAGGAACCATGTGATTTTAGTGTGTGTATATTTAAAACATCCAATTTAAAGGGAAAAAGTTACTTTTTTTTTGTTCACTCGTAATCTCCTGGCAAGGCGTGAGATTGCGATTGCTAGGGTGGCCTTCGAGCCGATAAAAAAAAACCCGTCATCAGCAACGAGGGAGGTCACAAAATTTTCCTGCACTGAAGGAAAAAGTCAAAGACGTCGGAGTGCGAAGAAAAACACCAATCCCACAAGAGGAATAAAAAGAGTAAATTTGCGACGACAGTGTGAAGTGTGAAGCTCTTGGGAAAGGAAAAGTAGTAGTTGTGAGTTGAGGTTGTATATAGAAGGAAAAAAACAGTATATGGGTGATGCCGTCGTGTCGGTGGGAAACGCAATAAAAAAAAATCTACTCAAAGTGATAGTAAATTAATATGTGCACATGTGCTCTCTGCGCGAGAAGAAGGAGTGAAAGGGAACGGACAAACCGGATCGCGAATGGCCGGCACACGGCGGAAGAAAGAGATGGACTAAATTGGAAGTAGTGCACACACGTTGGGCGTACGTACTGGCTGATGGCTGCTGCGGAACAGTTGGTGGATGAAAAGTGGTCAAAATTGGACTGTTGGTGGATGGAGTACGTTTTCCGTGATTGACGCCGCTGAAATAAGAGAAAGATTTTTATGTTCACATTCAGAAAGTTGGCTAAAGCCCAGTATATGGATAAACACGTAGCGGAACACAAATCGGAATGTTTGGGGATTTCTCTAACAGAGTCATCATTTTAAAGCATCAAAGCTGGCTGTATGGATTGACAAATAAAACCACTAGTTTCCTGAATACTCAAGTATCCTGCGCACCTCTATTGGCGCAGGGTTATTTTCCCTAACACAGACTTTAACATTATCATAATTGGCAATGCATACATTCACAGTCAAGAGTGCCAAATACACAGATCGAACTGAATTTCTACAGATTTTCTTCTCGATACTAATTTTATCGAATACAAATGTATACAAGTTTGAGGAGATCTTTAAAATATATATTTTTGATTCATAACATCTCTCATTCCGTCTTCCTCCGGAAAGGAATTAAAGCCGTTGGTCCCCGGTTCATGAGTCGGTAGAGTCCGATAGGTAGCGTCCAGGTGTGGGAGCTGCCTCCCTGGCGTCGGTAGCATTGGTGCTTAGCACGGAAAACAAGATCGACGGAAAATATTTTGTTTTTCCTCCCACACCTGGACCCTACCTCATCAACTCATAGACCGGAGACCAACGGCTTTACTTCCCTTCCGAAGGAAGGCGTGATCAGAGAGTTTATGCCTCAGAAAATCCCGGCTGCTCCGACTGGGATTGAACCCAGGCCTTTTGGGGTGAGAGGCAATCACGCTTACCACTACACCATCGGTGCCGCTATCTTGATTTTGAAATCAAGCTTTAATGCAAAATTATAACTTCGCTGTTTGACACTAAACTAACTGATTGACAGCTTGCTCCCTTACAAAGTCTCACCGAGGGGTGCGAGGATGGTGATTTTTGCCAATGTGATCGCACTTATTTAAAATAGTTCCAGTATACCAAAATTGGTGAAACTTTTGGATTTCGGTTCCATTTTTATGCATTTACTTCAATTCTCTTAAAGAACCCAATTGGGTTGTTTAGAGGTATTGAGGTAAATACATATTGGTAATCTGCATTAAAAATGGAACCGAAATCCAAAATTTAATCAATTTTGGTGCCCTCAGTGGGTCTTTGTATGAGAGCGAGCTGTCAACTAAAAGATCTAGTGTCAAGTCAATAATTAAAAATGTAAATCTTTATTTAGAAATCGATGGGATCTATGGGATCAATTCAGATATCGATGTACTCAAACACCCCAATTGTACAAATGTTTTCATATTTAAGACTTTTGGAATTATTTCCAGAACTTCGATCGCTGAATGTATTCAGCGTCTATCTTTGTGTTTCTGATCGATTTCTGATAATTTCATAAAAAAATAGAAATTAGTTGGTCCAGTTTTGTGGAATCGCTGGTAGGAAGTCACGCCAAAACTGCTTGACAAAGTGGTCAATTAGCCCTCATTTAAATTCAGAAAAATGTGGTAAGATTTGAACACCGTGCATCCGTTCTTCCAGGAATTCGAAAAGCCTCCGGGGGAAGTGGTCGGAACATAACTTTTTCGTTGCAAGCGCTTGGACTCCACGTGAGAAGAAAATCTCCTGTGGTTCGGGCAATTCAGTATCCTTATGAAAAGTGTGAAAAGACTTTCGCTTGGTAACACCATAGAGGTAACTCTAAGACTAGAAGGTCCCGAAATAACGTGCTCAACTTTTTGGCTCAGCTCTGGTACTCTCTTCGGTCCCAAGCTAATCGATTCACCCCTCGAAACATAGGAAAAACCAATAACCCCTCATTTTATCTGTCAAACTTTTATAGCGAATCAAAACAAACATTGCGTAGTACTAGAATTTCGACTAGAATGGGATACGTTAATCATTTGCTTGGGACAAATAGGCTAGTCAAGTAGTGAGCCAATTTAAAATCGTTAGTTTCGTATTGATTGTTGGTAACACCTTGTTTATTTGCGCAGCAAAAAAACTCGCACTTGTGGCCCATATTTTGATCGGTTGTAAACAAACAATGTTTTGCTTACAACAATTATTATATTCTCTCATATGATACCAGATTACTCTGAAATTATTCCAACGATCTTCAGGTGTTCTAAGATCTCCATGACGCTTGATATTGTTCCTTCTACTTCTATTCTAAAGATCTGTTCTTTCATGATACCAGGTTGTTCAGCAATTATTCCGAAGACCATCAGGTTATCAGAGATCCCCATGTTAACGTCAGGTTACTTTTTCAAGACTTCAGGTTGATCAGGTACTATTCTGCAACCAACCAACAATTCAAATGGCATCTCCCAGATATTCTCTCATGATACCAGGTCACTCCGAAAATATTCCAAAAATCTTCAGAGATCTCGGAAAACTTCCCATGTCTCATTGGCAGTCTTCATGTTGATCAAGTATTATTCTGAAGATCTTCAACTGTACAACAATTTAAATCACGTCGCTCAGATATTCACCCACGATATCAGGTTGCTCAGAAATCGTTTCGAAGATTATCAGTGATCTCCATAGATAATCAACAATCCAAATTACATCCCTAAGATATTTTCTCATATGAAACCAAGCCACTCAGAAATTATATCATAACCCTTCAGGTAATCAGAGATCTCTATACTCGAGATATTTTGGTTGTTCAGGTACTATTCTGAAGACGTGGTTGATCAGATACTATTCTGAAAATCCCAAACTGTCCAACAATTCAAATAATGCCTCTCAGATATTCTCTCACGAAACCAGTTGACTTCTAATGTTCAGATGATCAGAGATCTCCAAAAACTTCACTGCATATTTTTTTCAATACTTCTGGTTGATAAATTATTCTGACGATCTTACACTGTCCAATAATTAAAATCATGTCTCTCAGATATTCTCTTATGATACCAGATAGCTCAAAGATTATTCCAAACGCCATCAGGTGATCAGATATCTCCATTAAATCCTCAAGATAGTTGTTCAAGCCTTCAGGTTAAATATGTACCATTCTGAAGTTATCCAACAATTCAAATCGCATCTCTCCGATATTCTCTTATGAAACCACGTGACTCAGAAATTATGCCTAAACATCTTCAACTGTCCAAACATTCAAATCACGTATCTCATTTAACAATGACACCGTGATGATAAGATATTATTTAAAACTCCTACTCTGATCGCGCACGGGCGGGATCCCTACGTTGTGTTTATGATCGTTGTGATAGGTACGGAGATGAAAATAAATATAACGCACAGTTTGCTTGACCGTCCTGCCATGGCGGAGGTATTCGAGATACTGTATTGTTTTCTATATTTCTTTGTATAGTAGCTACAGTGGGTAGGGTAGTTGAACATGTAGATGACATTGCACAAACATACTCAAACAGTCCAATAATTCAAAAAACACCTCTTAAGCAAACCCCACACGCATCAATATATTGAAGCGAAGGGGAATTATTGACAATAATATTGATAATGTGAATTCAGAAATATTGTCAATCTCGATGTATTGACGTCAATATAGAATGTATTGACAATACGATTATTGTCAATAAAAGCAATCGTGTAGGGTTCACTTTAGATATTCTCGAGGATATTATTTCATGAAACCAGATGTCTCAGAAAATATTTGGGGATCAGAGATCCCCAGAAGTATTTTTCTGAAAATATTCAACTGTCCAACAATTCAAATTAAGTCTCTAAGATATTCTTCTAAGCATCTAGCTGATGGTTTTCAAATTGCAGCTATTGAAAAAAAAAAGATCAAAACACCCTTCACCAACAGGTCAGTGTGGCAGTATGTTCACACTGCCGTACTATTAGTACTATCAATTCTATACTTTCATCTCCTCAGATATCGTATAAAATTTTCACTTTAAGCCTGATATTGACGTTAAGCATCTCCAATCTCCAACTATGTAAATCGTTAACTTCACGCATGAAGTAATAAATACATGATTAGTTGAAGTCAAATTTAAGTAAAAATTCAATAAATGGTACAACAGCCCTATAGCATAGTCACTTTTGTAATCAAGAAATAATTGAGAATTATATCTGAAAAATCGGGAAAATATGCAAGAATTAAAAAAAAAGAAATTCACAGGCCACCCTTTTGGGAACAAGAAATTTCTGAAAAAAAACGCATGAATTTCTCATACAACTGAGCAAAAGTGACTCTCTCTATGTTGGTCTCATCGACCGTGCAGAAAACTGCTCGAAAAAAAAACTATTGTTCAATTTTGACCACTTCCTTCGTCCCATTGTGCGCACCCGCTTGAAAGTACGAATCACGGGCAGCCACTCGACACTTTGGCAGTCGCACGTTCAACCATCGTAGCCACCGCAGGCCCGGCGCGCACTCACACTCGACTCGTCTCGTGCTGGCTAATCAATCGCGTTTTTTTTTATTAATCTCTCCCGAAAGCAGCGAGAAAAAGCGGTGCAAATCACGGTGCTTGTAAACTCTCCGGTCATCAGTACAACCCATAACCGCAAGAATCCAGAGCGGCGGATTAGTTGAGTGCAAGAAGAATGGACACTGGTTCCTGTGGAACGAAATTTTAGTGCATTTTCTTCTTTTTGGTGATTTACCCACGACGCAAATAAAACGACGCGTAGCAAGAAGACGTGAGTGAATTCGAAGCAGCATGGATGTGTGAGTGAAGTCAGGATCGAAAAAACAATCGAGAGTAGGTAAATGAACATTGTGTGACGACGACGACTACGAGAGGGTGGTGTGGTGAGCGAAGGTCTTTTCTCGTTCGAAAACTGACCTGTGTCTGCGGGCGGAAGTCGACCAATCAACCAGCCAGTTGGTGGGAGGGTGAAGCAAGAAGAGTGCATTTTTCGTTCGGTCGTTCGGTGGTTGATTGACAGAAGAAGAAAAATAAGTGCGTGAGTTGTTGGTGCGGCACCACCAACAACAAACAACAACAGCCTAAACCCAAGCCTCAAGTCCGGAACCAAGTTTCTACGTGAGATGGATCCGGCAGTTGCTTGGTATCAGGAAGAGCAAGAAGGACCAGCCAAGTATCAGTGGATGAAAATCTGGGAAACCATGTCCGAGTTGAATCCTCCATTGACCGTTCCGGCTGAGAACCAGAAGCCTCAACGAGCCGGAACGGAGAAACCGAACCGTGGCGGTGTAGGGGGAATCGAAAACCGTCTCATCGTTGCCGCAGGGGGTGGTGTCGGAGGTGGAGGTGGTGACGATCACCACCATCACCATCATCACCACCACCACACTAACGCGTTAAGTGAGAACAATAACAACAATAGCAACAACAACAATAACAATAATAACAATAACGTCGGTAATGGCAATGGCAACAATGGGAATAACACGCCTACCGGCGGTGGTGGCACTATTCTAGTCAACAGCAACGAGAAGAACTACAATCCGACCAGGAAGAAAGCCGGGAGTACGGTGGACAATAAGGCCAGTACTTACTACATGAACAAGCAACACTTGCGACTGATAGGCGTGCACGGCGGGTGCCCGTGGCGTCCGCCCAACTACAAGTACGGAAGAGGAATTATCGGGTGAGTACCTAACCTACAGCATCTTTCTAGGGATGTCCCTTTACCTTATAATCATTAAAAGCACACACGAACAACAGCGTATAGTGCAAGCAGCACCGTAAAAGTGCGACGTAATTTCGGGGGTCGTTTGCTCGAGGCCCTGATAAGATAGAAAAAAAAATTTAACTTTCCTCGCTGATACGATGGCAAATTGCACAATGAGCTACATGGGGGGGGGAGGAGAAATGGGTGCATGTGCATTTTTTTGCGTTGTTTTGCCACACGGCTGCTTCATGACTTCATGTTTTGCTCGATACGATCGATGGTGTGATGATGGCGACGAGGTACCTACATTAGAGCTGCTGCAGCAAACGTATTGCTCGACGCGTGACAAACAACCTGATTACTATCGATGTGCGATTGGCGTAATGTGTTGTGGATGTTACGCTGGGTGTTTTTTTTTTTTTTTAGTTGGCTCCTCGACGTGTTGTGTTGCCCGTTGGTTGAGATATTCCTTTTGTCTAATTATTATTGAATTGGCGGTATTTAAATAAGAGGGTTCCAATTGGTTTCCTAATCTAGTTTGGCGTACTGTCGTTTTATCAGATAAATGTTAATCTTAAATGCGGTTGTAGTAATTATGTAACGTAACCTCTCCTAGGGATCGAATCTGAAAGTTTCTGCAGGCACGGGAACAACTTTAATAAAAATTGATGCTAACCTTTCTGGAAGATTAAACAATGCTAGAACATATGGATTTTCGTTAGCGTCTTCAACGCAAATTCCCAACGCCGAGGTTAACGATTAACAACCCTAGTCTAGGGACATATTATATGTTATAGCAAAATCAGTATTAAAATTCGGTGAACTTATTTGAAAAATCACGAAACAGTGGATCTAGGCTACCTAAACTAGCATTAGAGTAGTTCCACACCAAATGACGAATCGAAAAAACTCGGCCTTCTCCGATTTGCATAGTTCAAGCTGAACAATGCATTAGGTTCTAAGTATCATTCAGCGACTTTCTCTTTTGTTAATAACTAGGGTACAGATCCGGTTCTTGCCGTGTTTGTCTTATAAGAAGCTTTTTTTTCCTTGATTTGTTTTCCGTCGATCTTGTTTTCCGTGCTGAGCACCAATACTACCGACGCCAGGGAGGCAGCTCCCACACCTGGACCCTACCTATCGACCCATAAACTCATGAACCGGAGACCAACAGCTTTACTTCCCTTCCGAAGGAAGGCGTGATCAGAGATGTTATGCCTCAGAACATCCCGGCGGCGCCGGCTGGGATTGCTAGGGTGAGAGGTAATCACGCTTATCACTACACCACCGGCGCCGCTTTATTAGAAGCTAGATAATAGCTTCTATCATCGATCTGTGTGCTGAAAGTAGCCGGGAATGTTTTAAAATGGCCGTGAGGATGCAAAGAAAAAGTCGACGAAGAGAATCTGTCAATGTTACCTATGACCTAATGCATTGTTCAGTTTGAATTGTGTGTTATGGACATTACATTTTTGCAAAAAATTTACATTTTTGGATCTCGTAATTTTGTTCGAAATTGAACTATAATATTTCAATAAATAATTGTTGCACGAACAAAGACAAAGTTGTGGAGACAAATAAAGCCTTTCTGGGAACAATATACACAGTATTTTTGTATAGTAGTTTTGATTAACATATCCAAAAAAGAGTTAACTCAAATATCTCAAAAAAGGTATTGCTCTCCCAGAGATTTAAAGGGTGTCCACGATGAAATTGCTACACACAAAATTGATTCGCAAAATTCGAGTTTTCATCCGATTGCCATCAAATTTTCAGGGATTGAGAAATAACTATTAAACTTCATTTTACCATTTTACTCGTATTTTATTTACAGTCCATACGCAAATGCCCGCACCTTGGCCTTAACCCCGGCCATAAGATTCTGCACAACCTGTGAATCAACCGTTTTTTGCATGTAAACCCATACTTTCTTCAGTTCCTCGACTGTCTTCACTACCTTAGGTCGTTTAAGAAGGTGCTGCTTCATAATCGCCCAGTACTTCTCGATGGGGCGGAGCTCCGGAGTGTTGGGAGGGTTGAACATTTTCGGCACGAAATTGACCTTATTGTCCGCATACCACTTCAGCACGTCCTTGGAGTAGTGGCATGAGGCCAAATCCGGCCAGAAGATTGTTGGGACGTTGTGGGCCTTCAGGAGAGGAAGCAGCCGCTTCTGGAGGCACTCTTTTATGTACACCTGTCCGTTCATCGTGTCCTGGGTCACGAAAGGTGTACTCCGCTTCCCGCACGTGCAGATGGCTTGCCAAACCAGGAATTTCTTCGCAAATTTGGACATCTTCTGAGTGCGGACATGCTCCGGAACGCTGAACTTATCCTTGGCCGTGAAAAACAGGTTGCCGGGGATCTGTTTGAAGTCGGCCTTCACATATGTTTCGTCGTCCATGATGCAGCATTCAACTTTCGTCAGCATGTTGAGGTACAACTTCCTGGCACGGGTTTTGGCGGACTTGTTCTGCTTCTCGTCGCGATTAGGGGCCTTTTGTACCTTGAACGTTCGAAGCCCAGCCTTAGTTTTGGCCTTCTGGACAAAACTTCGGCTTAGGTGCAGCTTCTTAGCCACATCCCTAACGGAGGCGTTCGGATTTCGGTTGAAGGCCCCAACTACGCGGTTGTGATTTTTGGTGTTGTACGGAATACTTTTTCCTTCACTTCTGGGCTTCCGATCGGTGGTCAACCGTTCCTCGAACCGCTTAATCACTCGCGACACCGTGGAATTCACGATTCCCAACGTTTTTGCGATGGAACGATGCGAGAGATCCTTGTTCTCGTGATGAATGCGCAAGATTTTATCACGCACGAGCTGTTCTTTCGACTCCATTTCCGCGAGTTTTGATCACAGGACTTTAAAACTTGCAGGATGTTAATAATGCACTATGAACTAAATCCACCCAAATTTTCATTAAATTCTACCCAACGGTTAAAAAGTTAGAGCAATTTCATAGTGTGGCAATTTCATCGTGGACACCCTTTATTTCTGATTTACGGATTAATTCCAACTAGAAGAAGTTCCACCACAGCTGTCAAATAAATAAGGTTTCAATGAATCACCAGCAAACATATTTCAAGTTTGTCAATCTATGTTTTGTTTTCAGTATTCAGCTCCTTTTCATACTGGCGGTATAACCTTTGATAGCTGCGGTGGAACTCTACGGTAGCCGCCGAACGGATTTTTTTTCTTATGATCCGCACTATCTTCAATATTTTTTTTTAAGAGCTCATGAAAAATGCAAATATAATATTTAAAACTATAGACACTCGAAAATTGACGTAGGTCAAATTTTGTGAACTTGTAAACTTGTCAGAATTTCTGTGAGAGAGAAGATTCCGATAGGAAATACAGAGAACTTCTGACGAGAAGCTCAAAGAAATTCCGAGGAAAAGTTTTGCGAACATCAGACAAGAATTCAGATAAATTTCGAAAAGAATTTCTGAGAACTTTCAACGTGACTTTCCGAAAACTTCCGATGAGAAGTTCTGAAAATTTCCCAACGAGAAGTCGACAGTGAGCATGCATAAGGGCGAATACGCGATGATCGATTCTCTTCATCGATTTTCTCTTTGCATTGCTACAGCTAAGCGAAACATTTTTTTAGAATTTGTTCAATGCAGAGTAGTAACAGGTTGTATTGGCTATCAAAAGCAACAGCAAACGCACCGATAAACGTTAAATCTAGCGAATTATTAATAAAAGAGAACATCGACGAAGAGAATCGATCATCGCGTATTGGCCCTTATGCATGCTCACGGTCGAAGTGTTCAGAGAACTACTGACGAAAAGTTCAGAGCACTTCCGACGAAATGTTCAGAGAACTACCGACAAGACACTCGAAAATTGACGTCGGTCAAATTTTATGAACTTGTAAACTTGTCGGAATTTCCGTGAGAGAGAACTTCCGATAAGAAATACAGTTCTGACGAGAATCTCAAAGAAATTCCGAGGACATATTCAAAGAACTTCCGACGAGAAATTCGAAAAAAATACGAGGAAAAGTTTTGCGAATTTCCCAACGAGAAGTGTTCAGAGAACTACTGACGAGTAGTTGAGAGAACTTCCGACAAGACACTCGAAAAATGACGTTGGTCAAATTTTATTAACTTGTAAATTTGTCGGAATTTCCGAAAGAGAGAACTTCCGATAAGAAATACAGAGAACTTCTGACGAGAAGTGCAAAGAAATTCCGAGGGCAACTTCAAAGAACTTCCGGCGAGAAATTAAAGGAATCTCAGAGGAAAAGTTTTGCGAACATCCGACAAGAATTCAGAGCAATTTCGAAAAGAATTTCTGAGAACTTTCGACGTGACGTCCAGAAAACTTCCGATGATAAGTTCTGAGAATTTCCGAACGAGAAGTGTTTGGAGAACTACTGACGAAAAGTTCAGAGAGCTTCCGACGCAATGTTCAGAGAACTTCCAAGCATAATTTCAGAGAACTTCCGAGGAGAAGTTCAGAGTAGTGCTGAGATTTGTATCTAGTCATTGACAGACTTTTACGCGATATTGACAAAATTGTTTTTCACATAGTCACTGACAGACTTGATCCTCAAAAAAATCTTTGTCAAAATCTCATTAATTTTTTCGTCAATGACAAAGATCCATCTGGTAACAAAATGTGTAATTTCGTGCATTCTGTGTCACATTATTGTTATCCAAGCAGTTCAGAACGTAGATGCGTGTTCACTTTATCAGCTCCATGTAATTGTTTTGCTCAAGTCATTTCATGTCGATACAAATTTAGTTAATAAAAAAATCTACACATGTTCGTCACTGACAGCATTATCACTGATAATTGACATGATTTTCCTGGTCGATGACTGTTACATCAAATGAGTGGCCAAAGCAGAATTGCGAATATCACCGTGTATTGTCTTCTGGCGAGACTTTGTAAGAACTTTCGAAAAGAAATTCAGAGAATTTCCCACGAAAAGTTAAAGAATTTCCAAGGAGAGATTCAAAAA